AGCTACTCAGGAGGCCGAGGCAGGAGAATTGCCTGAACCCAGGAGGCGGAGGTTGCGGCGAGCCGAGATCGCGCCATTGCACTCCAGCCTGGGTAACAAGAGCGAAACTCCAACGAAAAAAAAAAAAAAAAAGAAAATAGAATGACGAAACATGCTTTATGTTCCAACCATCAGGATCTCAGTAACTGGTTTCTAATTTCAAAGCATGGTAGAGACATACATTGACAACCAAATCTCTGAAAGAAGGGAGCAATCTCATTTCAAACATTTGGTATTCTCCAAGTTGTAGGCGCTCTGAACAATATGCACACCCTATCCTCAAGGAATTTATTGTCTATCTAGCAGGGGAGATCTGCATATAAATATATACATACAAAATTATACACACTAACATTTATTTGCTTACTGTGTACCAGACACTTTTCTAAGATTGTTGCATACTACATATATTAACTTATCCCATAGAACTATTCTATTAATATCCCAACTGTACAGATGTGGCACAGAGAGGTTTAAGTAATGTATCTTGGGATATACAATTAGGAAGTAGACATATTAGATTAGAAATCCGGGCAGTAGTCAGATTATAAGGGACTTTATGCCCTTGCTAAAAGGTCTGAAATTTACCGTATCTATTGGCAGTTCCCAGCTGGAAATATATACACCTACCAGTCTCCTGTGGGTTGAGACCATCTCCACTGTTGATTAAGGATGACTGCCATTGTTAAGCCCTTTTTTTTTTTCCTTGAGACAGGGTCTTGCTCTGTCACCCAGATGGGAGTGCAGGTGCATAACCATAACCTCACTGCAGCCTCCAACTCCTGGGCTCAAACAATCCTCCCACCCTCAGCCTCTACAGCTAGGGCTACAGGTAGAGCAGGCCACCATGCCCAGCTTGCTTACTTACTTAACTTACTTACTTATTTATTTAGAGACAGTCTCACCCAAGCTGGAGTGCAGCACCTCTCAGGCTAAAGGAATCCTCCCACCTCAGCTGGGACCACGCCCAGCTAATTTTTTATTTTTTTTTGTAGACAGGGGGTTTCCCTACGTTGCCCAGACTGGTCTCGAACTCCTGTGCTCAAGAGATCTGCCTGCCTCAGCCTCCCAAAGTACTGAGATTACAGGCGTGAGCCACTGTGCCTGGCAATTTTTTTAATAATTTGCTAGAGAAGGGTCTTGCCATGTTGCCCAGGCTGGTCTAGAACTCTTAGGCTCAAGAGATTCATCCGCCTTAGCCTCCCAAAGTGCCAGGATTACAGGCGTGAGCCACCACAGCCCAGCTGCCTTTTTTACTTTTGGGAGGGCATCCCATCTATCCTCTAGGTGTTGAGGTTAAAACAAAACAAAACAAAAGCAAACCAAAAAACCATACTGCCGTTATATAGATGATGGGGAGTTACTGGGCTCATGAGCAGACAACTCCAAAAACAATACTCACAAGGAAGGAAATGTAGTTGTGAGTTCAGTCACACTATTGGAGAAGGTGCTCATCTCTCTCCCTCATCTCTCAGTCCTAAACAGGTAGGCTCAAAGCCCCGTTAAATCCCTTGGCCTTCCCCCAGCACCACCACCAAATTTCTAATTTCTATACATGCTATGTGCTTCAACTGTAAATAGTTTTCTTCTACAAACTCAGATACTTCTTAGCAGGTTAACACTGTTCAACATACCACTCTGGACAACCACAGCCTCAGCACCCTCACCACTTTCCTTTTTTTTAATTTTATTTTTTGAGATGGAGTCTCGCTCTGTCACCCAGGCTGGACTGCAGTGGCTCTATCTCAGCTCACTGCCAACCACCGCCTCCCGGGTACCTGTATAAGCAATTCTCCTGTCTCAGTCTCCCAAGTAGCTGGGATTACAGGCATGCGTCAACATGCACAGCTAATTTTTGTATTTTTAGAAGAAATGGGGTTTTGCCATGTTGGCCAGGCTGGTCTTGATCTCAAGTGATCCAGCTGCCTCGGCCTCCCGAAGATCTGGGATTACAGTCAGGAGCCACCACGCCCGGCCCACTGCTTTCAAAATAACTATATTTACAAGGGTATTTCCCCCATTTGCATTTCCCACACATAGGTTTTGAGAAGAGATCAAGAATGCCCTTTATCACATTTTACCTGTCCCTTTCAAACAAACTGGTCTAGGAGCCAGACACAGAGGCTCAAGCCTGTAATCCTAGCACTTTGGGAGGCCAAGGCGGGCAGATCACTGAAGATCAGGAGTTTGAAGCCAGCCTGGCCAACATAGTGAAACCTGGTCTCTACTAAAAATACAAAAATTAGCCAGGCATGGTGGTGGTCACCTGTAATCACAGCTCCTTGAGAGGCTAAGGCAGAAGACCCTCTGGAACCTGGTAGGTGGAGGTTACAGTGAGCCAAGATCACACCACTGCACTCCAGCCTGGGCAACAGAATGAGATGTCATCTCAAAAAAAAAAAAAAAAAAAGATTGGTCTGTATCAGTGCAAAGTTTTGCCTAAGTTGAAGCACTGGGTAGCAGAAAACATTTCTTATTTCACAAATGAGAAAAATAAGGCTTAAAGAATGAAAACTACCCAGGGTAAGCCAACCAAGGAGTAAAGAACTGTGACTTAAACCCTGATCCTCTGCCACCAAGCCCAAAAGGCTTACAACAAGTGGTAGGAAGGACTATTTCAAGTGGTTCACAACACCAATTTGAAAAACAGAAGGGGCATGCAAGTGACTCAAGTTTGGAAAACTGACCACACCCCTCTGCTATTCTAACTGAAAGATCAAATTAATTGTAAGCAGGGCATTAAGCACTGATCTCTACCTAATTCACATACTTCAATTTTCTTGTCTTATTTTGATTAGCTCCTCCAATAGAATGCTGAATAGAGCCCTATATAGCTGATAGTAGCTTTTTTTTTTTTTTTTTTTTTTTTTTTAAATGAGACATAGTCTCGCTCTGTCGCCCAGGCTGGAGTGCAGTGGCTCGATCTTGGCTCACTGCAAACTTTGCCTCCCAGGTTCAAGCGATTCTCATGCCCTCGGCCTCCCAAGTGGCTGGGCCGGCCACCACGCCCAAATAATTTTTCTATTTTTAATAGAGATGGGATTTTACCATTCTGGCCAGGCTGGTCTTGAACTCCTGGCCTCAAGTGATCTGCCCACCTCAGCCTCCCAAAGTGCTGCAGGCATAAGCCACCCGGCCCGGCCTGATTGTAGCTTTATCTTATTCTAAGTTTAATACTGTTCTAAAGTTTCACCATTAAGTATCATGTTTTTACAGATTATTCATGGAGGCACATTTTTTGAGTTTATGGAAATTCCTTCCTATACCTCACTCAGCAAAAAAAATTTTTAACTCATCTCTGGCCCACTCTTTTCCCTTCTCCATGCTGTTTTTCACCCCCGACCCTTCCCTTCTTATATTTCAGGTTCCTTCCTACATTCTACACACCTCAGAGTACTATGTCTGCCACCCAAAATAACCAAAATTCTTTGATATTCTGGGAGTTCTTTACCAATCTGCTGTTTCAGTTCCCTGGTCTCAAAAAAAAAAAAAAAAATCGAAAATTGACAATTGAAAGAAAATCCTAAGGTAAACATTGTTTCAATCATTACTGAAGACTGCAGAAATAATTGCAGATTATTTCTTCTCTCCATCTCTTTTGTTTGAGGCAGGGTCTTGCTTTGTTGCCCAGGCTAGAGTACAGTGGTGCGACGTGGACTCACTGGATCCTCGACCTCCCAGGCTCAAGCGACTCTCCCACCTCGGCCTCCAGAATAGTACAGGCACTCAACATCGCTCCCGGCTAATTTTTGTATTTTTTTTGTAAAGACGGGGTTTTGCCATCTTGTTTAGGCTGGACTCGAACTTTGGTACTCAAGTAATCCTCCCGTCTCGGCCTCCAAAAGTGCTGGGATTACAGGGGTGAGCCACCGGGCCCGGCCCTTCTCTATCTCTTAAACACACCCTGAAACGTCTTCCTTTCTTTAAAGTAAAAAACTCAGGGGAAAAAAATAGTTCTAGACGCCCCTTTACTTTCTAGTCTGTTGCCTAGCTCTGCATGAGCCTGGCTTTTTAAGTGGCTGGAAGAATCTCAGTGTTTTTTTAAGTTTTGAGGGAAGGAGCTGGATCCAGATGTTTATAACTTCGACTCTCTGCTTTGCTAAACTGAAAAGTATTAAAAGAGAAAAGGAAAGGAAGGGGGGTAGTATGCGTAAGCAAGTAAGTTCCAGAACATAAAAGCTGAAGACACAAGAACAGAAAGCCAAGCCTTTAAGGCCCAAGCAAGCTAAGAATTCTCTCCCTCAATTTCTTTCAAAACAAAAGGGCACACACAATCCTTCCCGAGGCAGCAACGCCGAAGGGAGAAGCCAAAATGTTGCATCATACAGAACACTCCGCGCCTAAGAAATGAGAAAGCCAGTAAATGCCCAAGACAGAAAACACAACTTGGGAATCTCGGTCTTTTCCAAAGGTCCAGGAGCACCTGCTGTTTCGTAAATTTCTCTAAGATAGCATCGAAAATTAAAGTTTCCGTTGCAGACTAGCGGGGAGCAAATGCCTTTTCAAAAAAGCGTTCCAAGAAGTTCGTTTGAAAGCTCATCGGGCAGCGGAGCGGAGCGCAGGGGAGCGAGCGGGTGGGGCCGGGCTCCGGCGCCCGGGCGGGGGTGGTGACAGGACCCGCGCGAGCCCGGCTCTGGGGCCGGGGGGCAGGCTCGTCCCGCCCCCGGGCTCCTCCCGACCCACGGAGGCGCGGGACGCTGGTCTGGCGTCCGCCGGAGCCCGCGCGGCTGGAGACGGTGGCCGCCGCCCGGATCCCCACCCCGGTCCCCTCAACGGGCCCTCGGAGGCGGGAAGGCGCGGGCGGCCCCCAGACAATGGGATGGGGGCGCAGGAGCCCTCAGCGGGACGGGTGCTGACGCCCAGCGGGGGCGCCTCGGGAGCGCCCCGGAACGCCGCTCCTCGCAGCCCAGAGAGCGCTGGGGGCTCGGCCGGGCGGGACCGCGAGGCGATCGCTCGCTCACCTTGACGAAGAGCTCGATGAGGGGCTCTTTGTCCTCCTCCCTCAGCCCGTTCAGCGGCATCGACAATGCCATGGCCGGCTCGGCTGCGCTCCGCGAACGGCGACGGCTGCTGCTGCTGCTGCTTCTGCTCCGGGGCTGCTCCGGCTGACGGTTCCCGCCGCGCTGCTCACTGGACTGTCCGGTGTCGAGCTGGCCGCAGCCTCAACTGCTCGTCACCGCCCCACGCCCCGCGCGCGACTCAGAGGCTGCCGCAGCTCGAGCCGCTTGAAGCGGTGGGGCGGGGCGCCGCGGGCGGGGCCGCGGGCTGTGGGCGGGGCCAAGGCACGGCGCCTCGGGACTCTCCGGGGAAAGTGGAGCGGCTGGAGCTTGGGGGCGTGGCCTCGGGCGGGAAAGGCGGAGGGACCGCTCTGGAGCGGACGGAAGGACCACTGCAAAGCCTCGAAGCCGTTAGGGGGCGTGGCCTGGGCGGCGGTGGGGGACTTAGTGAGCGGTACAAAGCGCCAGCTTCGGCGGGAGGGACCCGGGCCACGCCTCCCGAGGGGGCGAAGGGGGAAATCCCCAGGGGCCAGAGCCTGACACTGCCTCTCTCCGCAGCGCCTGCGCGTCCTCCGCAGCTGCTGCTGGTGCTGTGCCAGGTGACCTCATGCCTCGGCTGGCCTGGGGAAGCGAGGAGGCGCCTCCCGCCCACTCCCCCACTGAAGCACCCCAGGACTCATCGCTCTTTCCCGCAGCGGCCACCTCCCCAACTCCCTCTATTACGCGGAGTTGCCTTTTCCAAGACAACTTATCGGAAAGTTTTCATCGCCTGGGGAACACCTTTTTCTTCTGCCTCTGACTTTGTTTTTCCCGTTGACGCTCCAGGTCGTTTCGATCTTGGGAGCCAGCATATTCACAAATACTTATGAAACCTTACTGTGTTCCAGGCTTTGGGCTAGCCCTTGGAGAGTAACAATTCCCAGAGCTCCCGATCTTGAGCTGCAATCCCAGTGCCTGCAGGCCACTAAGGACTCTCAAGCCATTGTCCATCTTGTTCCCCACTGCTCACACCCATTTCTTACCCCCTCGCAGGCAAATTTGAGTGTGCAACAGAATCACCTGGGTACTACACGCAGCCCCACTTTATGTGTTTCCCAGATCCTCTGAGGACGAGAGAAATCCATTTCTTAGCAAGTACCAGAACAATTCTGAAGTAGGTGGTCCGCAAACCAGTTAAACTGCACTGGGATTAAGTCCCCAAGGATAAGAGCTGTGCTTGCCTTGAGATTGCAGGCACCTGGTCCTGGTTTGCTGCTGTGGAGTGCCTGGGGCAAATTTCACCTCCTCTGGAAACAATTACTTGTGCCTTCTTCTGACTTTCCACAATACTTGACTCACAGCTACTCCTCCCAACTTCCCAGGTTGGGCTAGTGAGTTCCAGAAGGCCCACACATGGGAGATTTGTCTCCATATCCTCAGTGCCTAGCACATATCAGAATGTTTGAAGAAATTGTATGTAGGCATGAAAATACATACAGTGAAACTTGCAACTTCTTCCTCTGCCAGCCCAAAGCAAGTTGCTCAAATTTTCTCACAGGGGCTCCGGGAAAGAGCCAGTGTATCCCAGTGGTCAGGAACACAAGCTCTGGAGTTTGACTGTTTAAGTTCAAATCCAACCACGCAATGTCCTTAAAGCCCCTAAGCCTCAGTTTCGTTATCTAGAAGTGGGTGGGGCTAATTACTGATTCTTGCCTTACCGTATGTGCTGCTGTATCAGTATGGCTGTTATCTGCATGGAGACTTATTCTGTCCCTACCACCCCTGCAGGCTAGAATGTGGTATCATATTCAACTCTCTCTATGCCCAGCTAGTTCGTTGAAAATGAATGAATTCCAGGAGTCTCCCTTAGATGGGGGCTTGAACTATGAAAAACCTAAAGTGAGTGGACTCTGGACTGAACCCAGTGTTAATTTTTCATAGAACCGTGAGCTGAAGCAAAGTTTCCTTCCAGACTCCACCCTCTCTACCCTACCAAAAACGAACCAAATGGTCAATCAGTTCAAAGCAGATCTCAGCTGAAAAACAATTCAGCGGAAACTCATTGTGCCTGAGAACCGATCAAATTGAAGCCGGGCACAGTGGCTCACCCTTATAATCCCAGGAGGCCATAGGCGAGTGGATCACCTGAGGTCAGGAGCTCGAGACCATCCTGGCCAGCATGGCGAAACCCCATCATTACTAAAAATACAAAAGTTAGCTGGGCATGGTGGCACATGCCTGTAATCTCTCAGCTACTCAGGAGGCGGAGGTTGCCGTGAGCCAAGATCATGCCATTGCACTCCAGCCTGGGTGACAGAGTGAGATCTGTCTCAAAAAAAAAATTTTTTTTGAGTTAAAGGCAGCAAATATTCCCAGTGGTGAGTTGCCCGTCACAGCATCCACCTGGCCCCACAGCACCAGGGTATGGAAGAAGGAGCAGACCAGAGTTCTCTAGGCTTCATTGACTAAACACAGATCTTAGCTGGGAGGACGCCACTGGCATGCCCCTCCACAGAGCCCTGAGGTGGCGATAATCTCCTGGGCTCCTCCTACCCAACAGGAAGCCCCCCAAGAAGAGGCTCAGACCCAGAGTCTGTGCTTAGAAACCTAGTCAGTCACACCTACTGTTTCCCAATATGGCTCCCGTGGATGGGCAGAGCCAGCCCTGGGAGGAGGTGAAAGGGATAGAGAATGTTTAGGGGAGGCTCCCTAAGCACATTACAGTCAAGTCTCCTCTTTGGACTTTGAAATGCACGCCTGTTTTACATTCTTTACTCATGCTTGGTTTTGTTTTGTTTAATGAATGAGAGGTTCTTATGTTGCCCAGGTGAGCCTCGAACATGTAGCCTTGCCTTCTCAAGCGCCAAGACAACTGGCCTGAGCCACCGCGGCCCCCTCATGCTTGTTTTTATAGCACACAGAAATCTTGAAGATAGGTAGAGACATGTTGTCTCCTCCCACTCACACCTCTCTGACCTCATCTCCTACATCATTCTCCCCTTTGCTCTCCACCCCAGCCTCACTGGCCTCCTTTCTAGTCCTTGAATATGCCAGCACACTGTGGCCTCAGGGCCTTTGCACTTGCTCTTCTCCCTCTCTGGAACATTCTTCCCCCAGAATTTCTGCAACTCCCACATCCTTACTTTGTTTGGCTCTTTGGTCGAATGTCATCTTCTCAGAGAGCTCTCCCGAAATACTGCCCTATGCAACGTTGCAAGTTGCTATCTTTCACTCCACCCTCCACTTCGTCTCTCTTCATAACACTTATAACCCTCTGATTATACATCTGCTTACTTATCTGCTTATTGGCTGTCTTCCCCCCACTAGAACATAAACTCCATGAGGGTAGGGATTTTTGTTTGGTTTTGTCTATGGCTATATTCCTGGCTCAGAAAACAGCTCATGGTACACAATAAAAACTTATGGAGTGAGTGACTGCACCATGTTTATCCTATGGTTTCAGGTACCCCTGACATACCATTGGGATCTCCCTGTCTGAGAAGCCAGGTGGTTTGTGTTTATGACTCTGCCACTTCACAGGGGTCAGGTTTCCCAAAGGACAGGAAGGCGCCTACAGTAACCCTCCCCTGATGATACACTTTCCTCCTCCCACCTCTGACTCTCTGGTTCCGTTTGCTGATTGTCTTAGCCCAACGTTCTGCAATTTCAGCAGCAGAATAAGCTGCTATGTACATGGACTCTGGGACCAGACTGCCTGGGTTCCAATCCTGCCTCTGTTATTTACTACCTCTCTGTGCTTCATTTTCTCATCAGTAAAAATGGATCTAAATTACGACCATTTTCTCATGTGTAACCATGGATCTAAAATTAGTACTGATTAATATTTAATAGGATCATTGATAAATTAGTCTATGTTAAGTGCTTGGACTGTAAGCGCTTGGATTGTAAGTGCTCTGTAGACACTAGCTGTTGGTATTATACCCATCTGTCAATATTCTTGACCAGTCACTGAGATCTCATACTGCATGCCAGACACCTAGCTGGGTGCTTTCATATCCAGTCATACTTACTCATCATGGTCTTGCAAGGCTTAATTTTTTTTTTTCCTGAGACAGAGTCTCACTCTTTTGCCCAGGCTAGAATGCAGTGGTATGATCTCGGCTCACTGCAACCTCCACCTCCCAGGCTGAAGTGTTTCTCATGTCTCAGCCTCCTAGTAGCTGGGATTACAGACATGCGCCACCACACCTGGCTAATTTTTGTATTTTTAGTAGAGATGGGTTTTCACCATATTGGCCAGACTAGTTTCAAAACTCCTGACTTTAAGTGATCCACTCGCCTCGGCCTTCCAAAGTGTTGAGATTACAGGCATGAGCCGCCGCGTCCAGTATTGCAAGACATAATTTTCATTGTCCCCATTTTCCAAATAAGGAAACTGAAGGCCAGCCATGGTGGCTCATGCCTGTAATCCCAGCACTTAGGGAGGCTGAGGCAGGTGGATCACTCGAGGCCAGGAGCTCAAGACCAGCCTGGCCAACGCGGTGAAACCCCATCTCTACTAAAAACACAAAAATTAGCTGGACATGATGGCGCACACATGTAATCCCAGTTACTCCAGAGGCTGAGACACAAGAATCACTTGAACCTGGGAGGGGGAGGCTGCAGTGAGCCGAGATCACACCACTGCATTCCAGCCTGGGCGACAGAGCATGTCTCTGTCTCAAAAAAAAAAAAAAAAAAAAAAACAGGAAACTGAGAGTTAGAGGACAACTAACCACAAGTCACAAGTCATTCAACTGGGAAGATGGTGGAGCTGGGATTCAAACCACAACTCTCTAGGAGCCTGTGTTCCTCTTCACTACACTGTATACTAAGTGGATATGGGAAAAGGAGGCTCCTACCCATTCTTCACGGCCCAACTCAAATATCCATCTGCCTTAAGAAGCTTCCTTGCACCATGCAGGGGGAGTTATCCTTTCTTCCTCTTACGGATCTGTAGCATTGGTCTGGATTCTACATCACCCATTGGTCCTCCCTAGCAAACTGCCAAACTCCCAGATTGGGCAAGCTATCATACCTAACCCAAATAAGTTTGCTCTGAAGCACTGGCATTGGTGATACAGTGGTGAGCATAGCTGCCTTCTAAGTAAGTTTCCTTACTGCTTCAGCAGGAAATACAGTAGACCCCTCTTATCTGCAGGGGACTATGTTTTAAGACTCCTCCAGGCCAGGCGCGGTGGCTCACGCCTATAATCCCAGCACTTTGGGAGGCCGAGGCGGGTGGATCACCTGAGGTCAGGAGTACGAGACCAGTCTGACCAATATGGTGAAACTACGTCTCTATAAACAAGACAAAACAAAAAAGTAAAATAATTAAAAAAAAAAAAAAA